ATAACCCCACTTGGTTTATACGTAAAAAAAATTTCCTCTCCATGTATTTCTTATAGAAGTTAAATTTTGTTTCTCTTTTCCGAGTTCGTTTGGCTCTTCTAACCGACCGATTTTCAAGATTGAGGTCTCAAATTGAGGGTATGTACGCACAGATGTCCCATCAAGCATTGGAATATATGTAGCTACAGTCCAAACCCGGATCATACGTAAAATAAATTTGCTCTATTGGTAGTTAAATTTAGTTTTTCATTTCCCAGTTCGTTTGGCTCTTCTACTCGACCAATTTTCATGGTTGAATTTTCAAATTGAAGTTATGCATGTCCAGATTTCACAACAAGCATCGGTTTAAGATACAATATACAAAATACAAAAAATGCTCTAATGTGTGTCAACCGGCTACTGAAAGATATAATGGATAACGATGTGCCATTTGGTGGGAAAATCATTATCTTAGGTGGAGATTTCCGGCAAGTGTTGCCGGTTGTGCCTCATTCATCTAGAGCCTCTACTGTTCAGAATTCAATTAAGTTTTCATACCTATGGCCACTATTCAAAATTTTTAAATTAACAAAAAATATGAGGGCTAAAACTAATGAGTTAGATTTTGCTAACTTTTTGCTCGAAATTGGCAATGGGGAATACCCAACAATTGATGACAAATCTGTGGACTTACCCCCACCACTTAACTCTGATTCAGACATAGTTTCAGAAATTTATGGAAAAACCCTACATTAGCACCAAAGAATGAGCATTGTGAGGAAATCAATAAAAGAGTTTTAGACCTCATCCCAGGCTCAAGCAAAACGTATATAAGTGTGAATAAACTAATTACAGATGATGACAGTGAACTATTGCAATTCCCTATTGAATTCTTCAACAGCCTTGAGATGACTGGTTTGCCTTCTCACAAATTAGTCTTAAAGGAAGGTGCCATTGTGATGTTATTAAGAAATTTAAACTATACAGCAGGTCTTCTAAACGGAACAAGACTTATTGTCAAGAAAATGTATGAAAACAGTTTAGACTTAGAAATCATAACTGGCACAAATATTGGACAACGTGCACTATTACCCCGCATTGATCTCTCTCCATCAGATTCTACAGTACCATTTTCTTTCAAACGAAGACAATTCCCCATAAAGGTTGCGTTCTGCATGACCATCAACAAGGCGCAGGGCCAAACGATTGATCGAGTTGGTGCGGACTTGCCTGAACCAGTATTTAGTCACGGTCAGTTGTACGTCGCCTTATCGAGAGGGAAATCTTTCGATACTGTAAAAGTAGAAACTAAATCAAAAAGTGGACGAACAGCAAACATTGTTTGGAAGGAAGTATTATAAAAGTCGTAATATTAATAAAGATTACCAGATGGAGGGAACTACTCCTGAGAATATGCGTACATGCAATTCTACCGATAGAGATGTCTATTTTACAAGAAATATTGTTGTTAATAAAACATTCTTAATAAAGCCTCATTCACGCTGTGTTACATATGAGTTAACAAAAGTACGTGCTTTCTCTGTATGTGCTTTTAGGAAGTGTGTGGATATTGTTCTGGATTAATTGATTTTCAAAACGGAAAAAATACATCGGGACGATTTTCTCTGTGTTATATGGAATGTGTTATACTTTAATTTGGTCATAAGGCGAAATTAATCCAGCAGCCCTATAAGAGTTTAATTAAAGTTGTACCGCCCTTATTAAGTTTAGTATTTTATTTTTTATTATTAATTTAAATGCTGCGGTGCAGCACGGGTCATCTAGTTGTACTTAAATTGATTCCTTCCCCTTAGTTATTGAGCTAACACAATATTTTGCTTAGATAACAAGAACGTCTGCTATAATGTGAGAACATGCATTTTATTTGGAACTAATGTTTTGGACGTATTCACATTAATGGCTTAGTTCCAGAACATATATGACGAAACATCAGGATAATCTTCTTACTTAATAAGCCGACTTATTAACAAGAATTGATAATGTTGGCACATCTACTGTTTCTCAAAGATATGATTCTCTGGGTATTTGAATAGTTATAATGCCATGCTTTAAATTTTTAGGTGGCTGATTCAATTCTAGGTAGACTTAAATGCATTTATCGTTTGTATATTGAAATAAAATATGAACGTTAGAATGCACACGAAGAGAGCTTGAACCATCCCTTAACAAAACCTTTCAAATTTTAACGGATTTAAAAACTTTATATTTACAATATTTTAGTTTTGTAGAAATACCTAATTAATAATACATAAGAAACCGTTTCTCTTTGTGCCTTAAATTTTCAAAATTATAAATTCTTATCTATACTATCTAGTAGTAATCTATTTCCTAGACACATTTAGGAATAAACTGGAAATAAAAAACAATTTCATTCATATCACAATATTAGGTGTTATGAAAAATAAAAATAACTAAAATAAATAACACGTCCTCTTTAGTAACCGAAACATAACTTTGGACCTACTTCACTACTACTTTACTTACTACTAGGAAATTACATGATGTTGAGTTCCACAAGCACGTTTAATTAAGATGGGTTGACAATAGATTGACTGAGGTACAAGGTAAGACAACAGCTGTTAGACTGAAGTAGATGTTGTCTTGATTAGTTGTTGCTCCGCCTTTCTGAATACCAATCTACAACTCACAGTAAATAGAATTACGTTTCAACTTATAGAACACATGTTAAGTGATTAAGTAAATTTTCTCGTAGATTGAGGTTTTTTTTTACGAAATTAATTAAAAACAGTCGCTCTGATTAGTTTAAATTAATTTAAACAAATCCCGAAATATATAAATACACAATCTTTATATTAAAAAAATAATCCCTTGGACTGAAGGTATGTAGGTATAACCTTGATTACACAATTGTCCCGTGACTTGAGGAGCCACATAATGAATAAAATATATTTGTTTATTGGTTATAATATCATTTTGGTAAGTTTTGCTGGCTCGGGGGGGGGGGTCAATACACACGACCTTTGTCCAGAAGGCTCACTAGTTCAACTCCGACCGATCAATTATGGCTTAATACTATTTGGTAATACAACGTAGAAGTTCGGACCACATCTTAGGCTTTATTAGTATACATACTGTATATAAAATATAAATATATAGATCACGAAATTATTGAAACGTTTCCTGTATTTGGAAACACCCATTGCTAAAATTTAATAGAATTTTATCTTATCATTCTGATAAACAGGACATCAACGGCTATTCCTTTTCAAACCAATTTTTTATTGATGAGCACGGTCCAATGAAAGACTGGAACCACAATTTCACTTAACACCGAAACCAGTTAAAAAGCTATAGCCTACAATATTTCTAGTTAGGTTAGCTACACAAAGCCAATTTTATGAGCTGCTCGATATGTTTTATGTTTGACCCTATTCGTTTATACACACGATGCGACACTGCCGCGGGTACCAACCTTTCATACAGAAATTTATGGCTTAACGCTTTTACTACTTTCATACTTAAGCTACAACATATAACGCCGTTGATTTAAAGCACCGTTGAGAAGTGGTTTTGTAGTAAATAAGCAGATTTGAGTTTATATCTTGGGGTCGAAGATATGCGTTAAGGTTTTAAACGTTTGAAGACCAAATTATTTCTCACTGCAATTTATATTAAATTAATCTAATTGACATATTGATATCTAGGCTAGAATTTATTACGTTAAATTTTACAATAATCAGTTATTGCTAGTTTACAACAATCAAACTCTGGTTTCCATTTGCAAAGTAAGTGTTTTAAACACATTGTGTAACTAAAAACAACTGTCCAATACAACAAACCTTCAAGGAATATTAGAAAAATTCACGAAAACATTTAGCCCATAACAAATGAAGGTACAGGAAAGTTAAACCAAAGCAAACTACCGGTGACGGTGCTAAACACAAGAAACCGATCCCTATTAAAATAAAATTACTGTAATTATCACTTATGAAATAGAGGCAAACCTACTTTCAAAAGTACTTCATATTTATTTAACAGTTATGATAGAACAATGCAATATAAGTTACTTATAACTGCATTTATAGAAAATAGAACTATTGTATTAACAAAATTATATTTGTATCCACCAATCTACTTAACCAGGAGTTTTGAGTAACGAATTAAATTCTGTTGAGAATAAAGCTTTGTGTCAAAGCTAACCACACAAGGTTTGATTTGATGTTGGATTTTGTTTCTTTGTAACCTTGATGAGTTAAACATGTGCTTGAGAAGTCAGCACACATGTGTATTACATATAACATATAATATTCATGTTGAACCTTTGTTACACGTGTCACTTTTGAAACTGAAATTTATATTGAAAGTGGGGTGAAAACAGAATATGAAATTCTGTTACTGTGTTAGGAGTATTAGGAATATGAGGAATAATATTCTTAATAATAGTGGAATAAGTCAATAAGGTTATCATAAAGAGTGTATCAGATGATTTTTGTGTGAAATTTTGTATTAAGGCCAAAAGTTTAGACTTATCTCTCCTAATTATGATATAAAAGTCTGAAAATCTTATAATTGGCTTTTGACTTATCACTTTCAATCACGTTTCATAGAATGTATAACTAAGTATCACTTAAAGCTATTCATGGATTTAAAACATTCTTTTAAGTTGTATGATTTTCAGTTGTAATCATAAGTATAAAAAGACCCTGAAACGTTATAAGTACAAACAGTTTGCAAATAATCTATCAAATTGTTGCGAAAGATAAAATTTCGAAGTGTGGCATTACTTCAAAAGACATACCTGTACTTAAACCTTTCAGCAATTTGAACATCCAATTTAAAACTAAATTATCCCTATTTAAATTTTCAACTCTTACAAACTAGGCTTACAAAATGTAGCTAAGATAACCGAAGTGTCTGTCATATAATAAAACACCAGACGAGGACATTGGTGCATTCATACAAAACAAAACGGTTTCTTATTCTGTTAGGAATGGGTTTCAAAAGTATAACTACCAACTGACGCACACTCCCCCCCTCAGCATCCCCCCAGTACCCTCCCCCTCAATACCGTCACCCCTAAGTACCCTCCCCCACGCCTTTCAGTACCCTCCCCCCTCAGTACCCTCACCCCTCAGTACCCACGCCCTTCAGTACCCACGCCCTTCAGTTACCTCACCCCTCAGTGCCCACGCCCTTCAGTAATCTCACCCCTCAGTACCCTCACCCCTCAGTGCCCACGCCCTTCAGTACCATCACCCCTCAGTACCCACGCCCTTCAGTACCCTCACCCCTCAGTACCCATGCCCTTCAGTACCCTCACCCCTCAGTACCCACGCCCTTCAGTACCCTCGCCTTTCAGTAACCTCACCCCTAAGTACCCTCACCCCTCAGTACCCTCACCCCTCAGTACCCACGCCCTTCAGTACCATCACCCCTCAGTACCCACGCCCTTCAGTACCCTCACCCCTCAGTACCCACGCCCTTCAGTACCCTCGCCCTTCAGTACCCACGCCCTTCAGTACCCTCACCCCTCAGTACCCACGCCCTTCAGTACCCTCACCCCTCAGTACCCACGCCCTTCAGTACCCTCGCCCTTTAGTACCCACGCCCTTCAGTACCCTCGCCCTTCAGTACCCACGCCCTTCAGTACCCTCACCCCTCAGTACCCTCGCCCTTCAGTAACCTCACCCCTAAGTACCCTCACCCCTCAGTACCCTCACCCCTCAGTACCCTCACCCCTCAGTACCCACGCCCTTCAGTACCCTCGCCCTTCAGTACCCACGCCCCTCAGTAACCTCACCCCTCAGTACCCTCACCCCTCAGTACCCTCACCCCTCAGTACCCACGCCCTTCAGTACCATCACCCCTCAGTACCCACGCCCTTCAGTACCCTAACCCCTCAGTACCCTCACCCCTCAGTACCCTCGCCCCTCAGTACCCTCACCCCTCAGTAACCTCACCCCTCAGTACCCTCACCCCTCAGTACCCTCACCCCTCAGTACCCTCACCCCTCAGTAACCTCACCCCTCAGTACCCTCACCCCTCAGTACCCTCACCCCTCAGTACCCTCACCCCTCAGTACCCACGCCCTTCAGTACCCTCACCCCTCAGTACCCTCACCCCTCAGTACCCTCACCCCTCAGTACCCACGCCCTTCAGTACCCTCACCCCTCAGTACCCACGCCCTTCAGTACCCTCACCCTTCAGTACCCTCACCCCTCAGTACCCTCACCCCTCAGTACCCACGCCCTTCAGTACCCTCACCCCTCAGTACCCTCGCCCCTCAGTACCCTCACCCCTCAGTAACCTCACCCCTAAGTACCCTCACCCCTCAGTACCCTCACCCCTCAGTACCCTCACCCCTCAGTACCCACGCCCTTCAGTACCCTCGCCCTTCAGTACCCACGCCCCTCAGTAACCTCACCCCTCAGTACCCTCACCCCTCAGTACCCTCACCCCTCAGTACCCACGCCCTTCAGTACCATCACCCCTCAGTACCCACGCCCTTCAGTACCCTAACCCCTCAGTACCCTCACCCCTCAGTACCCTCGCCCCTCAGTACCCTCACCCCTCAGTACCCTCACCCCTCAGTACCCTCACCCCTCAGTACCCTCACCCCCAGTACCCACGCCCTTCAGTACCCTCACCCCTCAGTACCCACGCCCTTCAGTACCCTCACCCCTCAGTACCCACGCCCTTCAGTACCCACGCCCTTCAGTACCCTCACCCCTCAGTACCCACGCCCTTCAGTACCCTCGCCCTTCAGTAACCTCACCCCTAAGTACCCTCACCCCTAAGTACCCTCACCCCTCAGTACCCTCACCCCTCAGTACCCACGCCCTTCAGTACCATCACCCCTCAGTACCCACGCCCTTCAGTACCCTAACCCCTCAGGGTAACTTTTATAAAACCCATTGATTTGTTTGTATATATAATTTTACTTATTTGTATAGTAAAAATAACTTGTCACTTCCGTAACTTACAAAATATAAATGCCGTGCTCTATAATTAAACATATTAAATGTGAAGTATCAAAAAATATTTATTTATTTGACATCTAAAGAATATGAGAATGTCAAGAACCATTCCGAATAGGCTGAGTTAAACAAATGCCTGTTTAACATTTATTAAAGATTTCATCTAGTTTAATATTCTGAACATTTCTGCCATGTGCGTCCTCCCTCAGTGCTTTAGACTTCTCATGTTAACATACAAAGCATCGCCTACCATTGCTTTTACAAATATTACACAAGTAATGTATGTTTTAGCATATTAAGTAAACATTTTACCTGCTTCAAAACGACTTTCGAGCAGTTTACACAACATAGTATTATATTTACTTATATATTATTCTATCTTTGTGACTTTTACACAGTTATTTGGAGAGTGTTGTTTTCGTGGCAAAAGCATTATGGTTTCGTAAAAATTTGATTATAAAATATATTATTACTTACGCCATACTAGTTGGTAAATATTGTACTGTAAACTCTTTTAAACCACTATGATACTATTTTCAACAAAATTAAAAGTCTAATGACGAGTTAAAGTAGTAAATGTTGTTTGTTATAAAACTGAAAAATTCCTAAACTAAACATTGAAAGGAGTCTTACTAAAAAAGGTTTATACTATACAATATATTATTTATTGGATATACAGAATTTATAAAGCTATATAGTAAGAGTAATCGTCGACCAAATAGAAACCAATTGAACATACAAATTCGCTTCAATAACATATCACTGAAGTAATTTAAACAGCTCTTTTTAAAACTTATCCCCATTTAAGCCTTATGTGTATTAAATGCCCAAGTTCTCAAAGCGGGCGGTTGTGGTCTGGGCCTTAACAAGGATTGTGCATTAGAAGGTGTCAGAAAGCTGAAAAGATATCTTTTACAAAGTCTTCTAAGAATGCAATAATACAATTTTCCATAGAAATACCTTGAAAAGTGTCTTATAGTGTTAAGTATTATATTGATCCTAAAATATTTGTATCGTTGTATAGCCTTTAACAACATAATCAGAAACTTATTTTCAACAGTTAATTATTTATGAATATATTTTTTTGGCTCTCGAATTATTACAACTGTTATTGGTTTCAGTAAAATTAATGAACTAAGATTTCCCATCAGACCTGTCAACTAAAACAGAAAGTATAAAGTAAATGTTATAAGTTTTTATAAAATATGTTTCTGTTAGGTTGAATTTCTATTTTTACTAAGACAATTCAATGAACTAACAAGATGCCTTAGTAATTGATTGACAGTACATAAAACATGTTCAAGAAGTGTAACGAAATTTATTTTATCCGTTAAAAACTCTCAAGTTGATTTGGTGATATCTTTAGGTTTCCCCTACTGAAATACAAACAGAAGGCGAATATATTCATAAGGAAACGTGGGGCGTTTTTTATTGGGAGGACTTGAATATTTGAATTTCCTTCGTAACAAAATTTATATTCCTTCTTGGCGTTATATTCTTAAAATATAAAGTCTAAAATAATAAGGCCGAAAATGTTTTTCAAGATGTACTACCCATTTTTATTCTAAACCTCAGAGTATTCAATTTCTAATAGGTTATGTAAAACTTGCATTTTATAATAATACCATAATGAAATGGATAGCACAATTTAGAGATAAAAAGCATGAAGACATAAATATTCTTACAATTTGAATCAAAATAAAATAATTTGGCACTTGTTGTAGAAAACTCATAGGGCAATTTTATTAGATTAAATACAACTGATATAAAAAAATATAGATTGCATGGCTTCAGTAATTTGTTTTTGAGGCAATTAGTTTGAGGTGGAGGTCACAATATATGTACATGTTAAACATTGAGGAAAACTTAAGTAAAATAAATATCTTCAAGTTTATCAACACAAACACAGACGTAATTTCCAAATCCATCACAGCTTTCGCTGCTTAAATCTAATCTAGTTTCATCAACATCAACATTTACAACACATTCTGTGACGTTGTCTCTCAGAAATTAGCTGAAATTATACAGGGTTATTCTAAATGATGTACCCATTTTTAATGCTTTATAATTTTTATACTACTAAACTTACCGCTATAAAATACACATCAAATGAAAAAGCAACTCAAAGAGTTTATGCCTTCCAAAGACACATCATTTAACAGTATCGATCCAACAGAACTGTAGATTTAATTGTACAAAGTTAAAAAGTAATCTCCAACTTTTTTTACCACTAGAAATTTGGAGGTTACTTGACGTTTTTGCAAATCACTTTTAAATGGTGAGGAAATCAACCAATGTGGAAGGTATTATTCCGAAAGAGGGAATAAAATTTCCTACAATCTACTATCATGCATTTTTTGAAAATACTCAAGAAAGGTACCAAAAATTGCCTCAAAATGAAAAGAAAAATAATTGAAAATCCCCGTCTTCAATTGTAGACAATAAACATAGCAAACATTAAATTTCACACTTTTTTATTTTAAGCCAAATTTAGGCTACATTTTTTGAGGATTTTCAAGATATGCGTAATAGTAGATTGTAGGAAATTTTATTCTCTTTCGGAATATTACCTTCCACTTTGGTCGATTTCCTCACCATTTAAAAGTTATTTGCAAAAACGTCAAGTAACCTCCAAATTTCTAGTGGTAAAAAAAGTTGGAGATTACTTTTTAACTTTGTACAATTAAATCTACAGTTCTGTTGGATCGATATTGTTAAATGATGTGTCTTTGGAAGGCATAAACTCTTTGAGTTGCTTTTTCGTTTGATGTGTATTTTATAGCGGTAAGTTTAATAGTATAAAAATTACAAAGCATTAAAAATGGGTCCATCATTTAGAATAACCCTGTATTTCTCAGATATAAGATAATGTGAAGGAAATACATGTAACGATTATTTTTCAGAATTGATCGTACAGTAGTTCTATTTCATTATAATCACTTTGTTTATTTACACTATATTGCATTATATTACATTTGACAGTATATTGTATAATGTGTCAATACATATGTCAGTACATGTTCAAGTCAATGTAGTACATTTGAACATGTCAATGTCTATGTATAATGTGTCAATTATAGTAGTGAGGGGGGGGGAATGGATTAATCAGTTTCATACTACTCAGATAGTATGTGTCATATTTTTGTGTCATTCTTCGCTTTGATTTCATTAAACTATAATTATTTGACGATACCCATTGCAACATTGTCAACGAATACAGTCTTGTAATATTTAAATGAAATAACGGCACTACTTGAACAAATTATTACTGGTTCATGTATTACTTATTCAATATTTTTATTGAGGATCCTTGCGGTAGAACCTTTGGCCATTCACAGAAAATAGTGGAATCCGAACCACATTTTTCCTTGTAATTAACGAATTGGTCTAATTATCAGGATAGTACTGCGGATATTCGTAGTACTTACTAGTGCGGACGTTAATCCACACCAGGGAGCATCGCATCCACAGTGCATGCCTATAAATATCCACCACAATTCGAGACCTCCTAGTAGCTTGATTACAGGACGACGCCACTCGTCCCAGTCGTTAAAATTTTACGTAGTTAAAGGGAGATTACGCTGATGCGAATACTAATTTCCGCCACACATGCAAACTTTTTAACAAAAACAGTTATGGGATGACTGTTGTTAGCTATAATATCTTTGATATAACATCAACTATCTCATTAACAAATATCGGGGTGGAAAGTATAATTTTGGACACTCATTCTGTGACTGACTAAAACAAATATGTTCTTTTTTAATAACACCTGGTCCATTTTAGATGGGATGTCTATCTACTTCATTACGGTATACAAATGTCTATAGTATAAAGTAACAGAACAAGAAACCTCATAACAATATACTAACAACTGTCACAAATAAATATTGAAATCAGACTTAAATTATTGCGATGACAAAGATATCAACGAGGTTTTAGTAAGTAAAATAAACCAGCAAGATTTACCGAACTGTTTGTGGCTACAGTTTTATTTATGATTCAGCAGCCCTTACTAATGTAAGTTTAAACTCGTGACTGGTTGTTTTTGCACGTAAACAACTCAACTGACTTCTTAATTTGTATTGTTTTCGATATATAATGTCTGGAATTATTTTTATGCTGAATTAATCGTGTAAAAGTGATATTTACTGTCGAACTTAACAATTTAAATTTACGTTTGTGTATATATTTTACTTAAATTTGTTCTCAATTTTTGAACATGTAACATTGTAACCTCCACCTCAAACTAATTGTCACCAAAACGAATAACTGACTCCATGCAATCTATATTTTAATATCAGTTATATTTAACTTAAAGAAATAGCCCTATAATGGATTAACGGTATTGTGTTTGTTTTAAGATTAGTTATTGTACTTACTTCAACTTTATACTACTAAACTATAATTATTCAAATGCAACTCATCGCCCTTATTTATCATTACTTTTTAATAGAAAAAAATATTTTATTGTGTCATTTTTCAAGGACTTGCCAATTAACGGGACGTGTTAGGTTTTAGGTATACAATTATCGGAAAATGTTTAATCTTTTAGATGTCATTTCTATTCGCCGAATCTTAAAAGTAATTTATAGTCGACTTTTTCAAAACTGTATTCATCTACGTGACAAAGCCTTTTAAGTATAGCATGTTTTTTAAACAAATACACAACATAACAAGCCGTTAGTCTATAAAACCCTTGATGTTAGGGAAAGGCGCAAGGTTAGAGGGACATTAATTACGTTCAATGAACTCTTCTCATGCGGAATACTATCAAAATTAAATATTCACCGTGTTGCAGCAGAAAAAAATCTCCTTTC